GGGGGTTGGGGGGGGCGCCGAGGACCGAAAAACGCGGGCGGTGCTGACGAGGCGCTGACTAGGCGCGGAAGCTGCGAGCGTCGGGCGCAGGAGCTGCGCGCGCGCGCCCCATGCCGGCGGGCAACAGAATGGTGGCTTCGGGCCGGGCGGGGCCGCGGCAGAGCGTCGGAATGACAAGGCGCAAAGGCGGCGCGGCGGCGCCGGCCCCGCTGCCAAGCACGGGGCGGGGGCCCCGCGAGCGAGGAATCCCGAGCGGCAGCACGGATCGTGGGGTGTGCATGGGATAGGCGGCCATAAATGAATATAAGTGGCCGACCCAAGGCGGCGGCACGCGCCGGCGCCGCCGCCTGTGGCATCGTTCACCCAAGCCTGTGCGCGTGCGCGCTCGCACGCGCAGCCACGGGCCGGGCTGTTTCGGGAAGGGCACGAGGCTGGCTCGAGGGCCAAATAAGATGGCCCGCGCACCCATCCACTGATTATTGCAGGCGTCCCCGTCGCCGCTGATCGACGGCGAGCTACACGCCCGCCGCCGGCGGGACAGGGTCGGAGGTCGAAGGGTCAACTCCAACCGTTCCAGGCGCCCCCCGGCTGGCCAGCTCCGGGCGCCCAGAGGTTGCTGCCGCCCCCCGCATCCTCGCCAGAGAGCGCCCCCCACGTGCCAACCGTCCCCGCCCACCCGTCGCCGCCTGCCGCCGCCACGTCGCCCGCGCCGGGCCATGCGCCGCCGGCGCCCGCCTGCTGCGGCGCAGGCGCAGGCGACGGCGCGGGCGCGGGCGCGGGCACCGGCCACGGGTGCGGCGCGGGTGACGGAGCGGCAGGTGGCCACGGCTGCTGCTGCTGCTGCTGCTGCTGGTGCTGCTGCTGGTGCTGCTGCTGGTGCGGCTGCGTCGGCGCTAGCGCAGATAGCAGCGACAGCGCCGGGCGCGGCGCGCCGTCCCGGCTTAGGGGGCCGGATGCATTCCCGCTGTTGGTGGACACCGCGGAACCACCGGACAGGGCGCGCATCAGCAGTTGATGGTGCTGCTCCTGCTCCTGCTGCTGTTGCTGCTGGTAATGATGCAGCATCAGCGGCATCGACGCCGGCGGCGACGCCACTGCTTGCCGGCCGCCACCGGGGGCCGCGGGGCCATCCTCGGGGAAAGCTAGCGCGCTGCCGCCGCCACCGCCGCCGCCACCCAGCTGCCCCCCAAACGCAGCGGAAGCCGCCGCGAAGCTGCCGCTCTGGGATTGGAGCAGGAACGCCAGGAGGTCACCGGCGCCAGCTGGCGGCGACTGCAGGTGCTGTTGCTGCTGCTGCAGATGCTGCTGGTGCTGCTGCTGCGCGGCAGCCGCCGCCGCCGCATGGTGCGCCACGGCGGCGGCGTGCCGCGCGTGCTGCGCCGCCGCGGCGTGCTGCGCCGCAGCGTGCTGAGCGGCGGCAGCATGTTGGAACGCGGCCTGATGGGCGGACGCCGCCTGCTGCAGCGCCAACGACGCGGGGCCAGCCGCCGGGCCCCAATGCGAGTCTGCTACTGATGGCAGCGGGCAGGCGGCGGCCGGAAGCCCGTCCCACTGCGCGGGCGCGCCGGACGTGGCCGCCGCCCACGCGGCGACCGCCGCCGCGGCAGCGGCCGCGGCGGCGGCTGCAGGTTGGTGGTCGCTTGGCGGCGGGTATGGCTGCGGAGGCAAGCCGCTGGCGCCCCGGGACCCCGCCTGAGGGCCCCCAGCTGCCGCGGCCGCCGCCGCCGCCGCCGAAGCAGGGCCCGCCGCATGGAGGCCGGCCTGAGGGCCGCCGCCCGGCGGCAGCGCAGGCCCCGCGGCGCCCGCGCCCCAGAACGCAAGCGGCGCGGGGCTCGCGGCCGCACCGCGCTCGGGGCCCGGCCATTGTGGCGGCCCGCGCGGCGCCGTCGAGTGCTGCTGCTGCTGCTGCTGCTGCTGCTGCTGCTGCTGCTGTTGCTGCTGTTGCTGCTGTTGTTGCTGTTGGCGGCCCGCAGTGGCCTGCGGCGGCGCAGCGCCGCTGCCGCCAGCACCGCCAGCGCCGCCGCCGCCGCCCGCTCCCGTGCCGTCGCCGCTGGCATCGGGGGCGCCCACAGCGGTGGTCGTGCTTGAGGTGGAGTTTCGCGCGCCTGGCGCCACCCGCAGCTGCTCGTTGCTGTGTGCAAAGAAGCAAATCTGGCCGTTTGGGCGGGTAGGGGTTCGGGGGCGAGAGGGCGTCGCATGGTGAGGATGAGGCAGCAAACAGGGCGTTGGAGGAGGGGAGGGCGACGGGAGCAGGAGGGGCGCCGTTTGGGTTGGGAGGGTGCGTCTCTCCAACCCCTGCGCATCAGCGCGCGGGGTCGTCCGACGCGCCGCACCGCGGCACACGGCACACGGCACGCCGGACGGCGGGCCGCTGGGCGGCGGGCGGCAGGGGCGCCCCCGCCAACTCTCCAGCTCCCATGAGGCGTCCTCCATTGATTGCTGGCTGTGTAATGTGAATGGCGCAGCCGGCCCGCCCGCCGCCCCCTGTCGGCTCGGGTCCTGCCCGTCAGAAAAGATCTGCTGGCCAGATTTGCAAATATCGCCCCCCCCCCTCACGAGCGCCCCGCACGACCCCGCCGACACGCCCCAGCCTGCACGCCGACGACCGCCCCCCGCCCCCCGCCGGCCGCACCTTGCGCCGGCAGGCGGCCCCGTCGGAGCAGATTTTGGTGCGGTAGCGGTCCGGGTGCAGCCACGACTCGAACGCGTGGTGAGAGAAGGGGCACGCGTCGCCGCTGGCGCAGGGAGTGCCGCCGCGGACGGAGGGGCACATCTCGCACGAATAGGTGAACTTGTCGAGCGGGCGCCGCCGCGCGCGCTCACCGGGGTGCGCGAAGGGGCACTCGTGCCTGGGGGAGCGGGGA